TTTGACTTACAAAAGAATACTCCTAAATGACGATCTTCCCTGATGTGTTTAGGGCTATTTATTTATAGATATTTTCTTAATTTTCATCCACAAAATATAAAAGTAAAGTGATTAAAACTACTACTATTTGAAAAACATCAGAAAATAATGTGAATCCCATCAAAAATTGTAATATTACTTAGGTAAAATTTGTTTTATTTACAGAAGTTAGTATATTATTATGATTTTTTTGAGCATATATTAGTTGCATAGAATGGTATGTGCCTGTCTGTACTATAAAAATATCATTGAGGGAGAAGCTTCTTTGGTCTTTTGGTTCTGTGTCAGAGCAGGGTCCACAAGGTTTATTGGAATCAACCCTGAGATGTCCTGAATTCAGAATTCTTCTCTCCTTCCTTTTCCCTCTGCGCTCTGCTGGAAATTTTCCCTGGAGCTAGAGCAAGAGACAAAGGGAGGCCAGGGTCCAGCAGCCTCGGCTTCTTCCCATAGCTGGGAGCATACAGACAGCAGCAGAAAGGGTCCATTGGAGCAAGTTCCTATTTCAGTAGGAATTGGAACAAGATTTTATCAATAATTTTCTAAAGATGTTAATGTTTTATTAATAATAGGTATGGTTTATGTAAATTAATTCCAATATATGTTCAATATGCCTTAAATATTCCTTCTTTAAGTTCCAGTGAATTTTTTATCTTTTATTGTTTCAACTATTTTTCTAAATTATCCTGATTGTAAAAAGAAGAGAGTAGATTTTCATCTCCCTTAATATATTAACATAATAAAAATAATTCACGTATTTATTCCTTGCAGAATAGTTATAAAATAGTATAAAATCTCCCATCACCAATTTCTAGAATTATGATTACTTTGTCATGTATCTTTCAGATTTTTATAATATTTATTTATATTTAGATACACATTAATATTTTACAAGGGGCATCATATTTAATACTGTTTTTTATTCTGCTTTTTTATTTAATATGCCCTGAATGGGTTTTTACATAATGGACATATATGAAATCATTTTAAAGTGGATACCTGTTCTTCATTTGTGCTCCTTACCACATTGTACTCAATCATCCCCAGTTGTTAGTACATTTCTGGCTGTTATAAATAGCTTTAAATACATCTTTACTCACTTGTCTGATCATTTCTTAGCATACATTTCTAGGCATGGACTTTCTGGAGTCATTTTTGAAGTATTGAGTCCATAATGCTAAAGGATCCACCAGAAAGATGATGCCCAAGACCGCAACTGAGTAGTTCAAAGGCACCTCTTTCTCTGCACATGCCCTGCCCAGCCCCCCCAGGCCCACCCTGTGCCCTACCATATTACTTTGATTTGTCTTTGTCAGTTCAGTTCTTTTCTTTTTCCTTCATCTGTCAATTCTAGTACCATTGCTCTACTGTTTGAAGTGTTAATTTTATAAAATTGCTTAATTAAAAAAAATTTTTCCTGTTCTCGCTGTTTTTTCAAATGAATTTTTTAGCATTTCTGGAATTTCTAAAAATAATCCCTTCAGGATTTTCTTTGAACTTATATTAAAATCACAGGTTAATTTGGTGAAACTTCAGCTCTTTGGTGAGAATTTTGAGTCTTACTATCCATGAACATAATAAATCTTTCCATTTATTTAGTTCTCCTTTCATATTCCTCAATGAAGTGTTTTTGTTTTTGTCATGTGGCTAGTACATGCATATCTGTTTTTGTTCATTATTAACTTTTTAGATCTATAGAATTTGCCTTGTTTACAACTTTGATTGCATCCCCTAAAGTTTAGGTTTATAGTATGTGTATTTTCATGTTCAAAGTACTCTGGTTGCAGTATGATTTCCTCTTTTACCCAAGGATTGAGAGTATTTTTTATCTTTTTTGTTTTGTGTTGTTTTGTTCTTTTGTCCTTTGTTATGAATTTCTTGTTTAATTTTGTTGTTACCTGGCAATGGTGATAAGAATTAGGTCTTTTAAAGTTCTTTTCTAGTTTCTGGAGTGTCTTATTTGTGTGGAGTCAGGAGTGGGAGATTATTCCCTGGGTAATTCCCATTCTTTTTAAATACCAAATTTATCCACAAGTGCCTTCCTGCTGCCAGCGTGCCTGTTTTCCTTCCCAGCTGTGCTCACCTAGGGACAGCTGGAGTGCTGGTGGCACTTGCCGCCCCAAGCCTTTGTATTTCAGGGTGAGACTGTGACTGTCCATACCTTCAGCGTCCATTACACTGTGCGGGGTGGCGGTGAAGGGTTGTGTTTTGACATTCTGGCACCTACTGATCAAACTACTTCCCAGGCAGGTTTTTTTCTGAGAATGAGTTAAAATCATCACCTTCACTGGGGTCCTATTTTTAGCACATTCTACAGAATTTTTAATTTAAAATTTGAGTCATATTTAATTTTTCCAACACAGATGAAGACTATTTCTCCTCTTAATGCCACATTGGTCATTTCTAGGTGAGCATTGGTGAGGGTAGAGGAATTGGGTGCCATGCTCCACCACCGGCCATCCAGCCCACCACTCTTGCCAGCAGGTGGTTATTGGGTGGCTCGCTGTTCCTCACCCATTTTTTACAGTCACCTCCACCAGATCCATGCCACAGATGGAAGATAGACATTTTGATCTTATCAATTCCTCATGTTTAAAGTAATTGTTATTAGCTGCCTATCTTTTAGTAGTATGCGATCTTCTCTATAGCAAGAACCATATGCTCAGGCTTTCTCCTCCTTTCCCAAATTTCAAACCTATCCTTTCAAGATATTGACCACATTCATCATCCCTCTGCATTTGGTCTGACACAGTGGCCTCTCTTGCTCTCTTCTTTGCGAGGGGGCACAGAAAGGCTCAAGCACAGTCAGAACACACTCCTGAAGATCTTAAGTAGGGGCCAGGAAGGCATGGTGGTGGTGATTTCTTAATTCAAACCTGGGATGGGAGAGGACAAAATCAGTTATAAGGTTTTTGAGAGTGTATAGTAGGTATCTAATGAGAATACAAAGCTAAATATGGTCAGGTAAAATCTGTGCCTCCAGTCTCCACTATGAAGGTCATGAGGCCACCTTGTTTCTGGGTGGATAATAGAGAACTTTAAACATAGCATTTAAAAGTGATTATACTCAGCTACTTGTGAAGATGGACATCATAGTGAATTTTTGTGTTTATTTTTCTTTTTTGTGCTCCTTCTGCCTGTAGTAGTCTAACTATCGAGAAAGATACATAGGAAATACAAATAAATGTGAATTTACTCTGTTTCCCCTGTTGTCTGATTTTTTTTTAACCACGTTTTTGGGGTAGGTAGGGGACATAAAATATACTAAGGTGAACCAGAATTGTCTCTAGTGATAGGAATATTAAACATTCTATTATGGGATCTGTTATTAGCATTTGATTTTAAAGAGTAAGCATGTACTTCAGGATTACATGCCTAAAGTTATATAGTGTATAAATGTCTTTTCTTAAAGGACTTAAATTGGATATATCCAGAAAAATGTTATATCCTTAATAATGTATGACTTCCCTATATCTTCCTCAGTCTTAGAGGATTTTGACCATTTACTTATATATATTTTTTTTTTTTTTGCGTATTTTGTGGTGTACATGTTTTTGTTTTATATATTTTGTTTTCCCCCCCCCCGGTTTGGGGTTTCAGGGTTTTTTTTTTCCCGGCGGTTTTGCCCCCCCCCCCTTGGTTTTGATTAACCTTTTTCCTTCTCCTCCCTCCCATCTGCCCAATAGCCGATGAATGTTACTATATGTGCACTTAAGTGTTAATCAGTTAATGCCAATTTGATGGTGAGGACCTGTGGTGCTTGTTTTTCCATTCTCGTGATATTTCACTTAGTAGAATGGGCTCCAGCTCTATCAAGGATAATACAAGAGGTGCTAGATCACCATTGTTTTTTGTGGCTGAGTAGGACTCCATGGTATACATATACCACATTTTATTAATCCACTCATGTATTGATGGGCTTTTGGGTTGTCAAACAACCCTATCAAAAAGTGGGCAAAGGACATCAACAGAAACTTTTCAAAAGAAGATAGACTAATGGCCAAGAAGCATGGAAAAATGCTCAACATCTCTAATCATCAGGGAAATGTAATTCAAAACCACAAGGAGATATCACTTAACTCCAGTGAGAATGGCCTTTATCAAAAAGTCCCAAAACAACAAATGTTTGCATATGTAGAGATATAGGAACACTCATACACTGCTGGTGGGACTGCAAACTAGTACAACCTCTATGGAAAGCAATATGGAGATACCTCAAAGAACTAAACGTAGAAGGACCATTTGATCCAGCAATCACAATACTGGGCATCTACCCAAAGGAAAAAAACCCACATTCTATAAAAAAGACATCTGCACTAGAATGTTTATAGCAGCACAATTCATGATTGTAAAGATGTGGAAACTACCAATTTATATTTTATATTAAAATTTATCCAGCAGGGTTTTTTTTTTTAAGATTCTTTCCTTTAAAATAAAGACCCTAGCCATTATGAATTTTTTTAGAAGGCTTAATCCTAAAGCAAATTTTCCTTACTTTGTGGCATGAATTACTGCTCAAAAGTCAGTGTTAAATTATTTTGGGGTGAATGAAAAACAGAGACTGCCTCTACTAATCTAATCTGTGAACTAATATCTTAGTCTCCTGAAAAACTTAGGTGGTTTTGATTTCCCAGTTTACAAAACAAATTATAACAGTTCCTGGACATTTGAAGAACTTTCTATGATAACAAATCTTTTGACTTTCATGAATCTTGGTATTTTGGTGCCATCTTGTGGCTTAGCTTTGTAATGACTGTAACACTCAAATCCATTTTAAACAATGTTAAGGCAGGATAAGCGGGGAATTTTTTCCAAAATGCAAATCGTGTGCTATTATTTTTCTACATAAAAATATTGAGAATTACTTGTTTGTTATTTTATCACATAGAGAGGCAAAAATAGTAAGTAGAGCATCTAATACATAATTCTCAGTTTCTAATATTCTTTATGCCATTTGTCCCTAGTTGCTGCTGTTTGAACGGTCTTGGATGAACAGATGGAAGTCTTCCATTCTGCACGAAGGGGAAGGGAACATAAGGAGTGTGAAGTGGAGAGGCCATCTGATTGCTTGGGCCAATAACATGGTAAAAGCACATCTCCGTCTTCCAAATGCTTATTTGGTGTCAGAATGGTAGCCGAATTGATGGGACTCTAACAAAGGGAAAAGATGCCACTCACTTTGGTGATTATTTCTAAAAGATACAAATGGCGATTGGTATTATACCTGGGAGGTTAAAGAAATTAGATTGCTTTTGGCTTTCATAATATAGTAATTCCCAACATATTCTGGACTCTATTTTAGAGAAGAAACCTGAGGCATGGAGAATAGCCAAGAAAATGAAAAGCCATCTTAATAATTGAAGCGCTGCATTGGGAATGTGGTCTTGAAAATACCATTTGCCTATTGGCCAAGGGCAAGTAACGGTTGATATGAAACAAGTGCAGAATATTGCTGATTTCTCTTTTACTTTCAGTATAACCATAGACAAAAATCTAGGCCTGCCTTTAAGAAAGTGGATCGTAATTTTCAGTGCTGCACTTGTTTAAAGTTTACCCTATATGATTTGGGGCTAGCAGAAAGTTTTTTAGATGGTCTTTTTAACATCTGGCATATATTTGGAATTAAAAGGTGTAATTTAGTAAATCAGTTCTATTCAGTTTTAAATGGTAGAAATCTCCCCAGAAGCTACCTTATTGTTCTGGACTTTTCTCACTTCTTCTGGGCTACAGTAAAGATAAACCTGTGTTCTCTTGGTTCATTTTTAGTTAGCTGTTTGCTTGTTGTTTCTATTTGAGAACTTTAAAATGTTCAAGTGTAGTTTTCTTTATTTAGGTGGTTTTTCAGATTCAACACCTTTCTACAAAACAAACCTCATTTTTGTGGTGGAACGATATAATTAGAAATGTTACTTGTCTGTCATTTTGGAAATGCTATTGGTATCTGCACATTTCACGCTTGTATTGGATTTGAGTGACCCTTGCCATGCAATAAAATCTGCTCTGTCCACAAAGAAGGGTGGAGGTTTTCTTGTGGTTTTGGCTCTCACGGGGAACAGGGGAACGTTCCTTTGTGTGGCTTCTAGTCATGTCAGTAAACACTGTCAATATTTTCCATTGCTCGTTTTCGATGTTATGTAGCAGGAGCTGTTAATAAATTTTCCTTTACTTTCCTTCTCCCAAGTAGAGGATGCTTAATGCTATCTTATTTTCTAGGGTGTGAAGATTTTTGACATCACCTCAAAGCAGAGAATCACCAATGTGCCGCGGGATGACATAAGTCTTCGCCCAGATATGTATCCCTGCAGCCTCTGCTGGAAGGACAACGTGACACTGATTATTGGCTGGGGAGCTTCTGTCAAGGTATTTTTGTTTGTCTTTATTAAAAGTTCATGTTGTTAAGGATCCGCTGAGTGTGGTCCGAAGAAATATGACTTCTTGAATGACTATTATGACCCAAATATTTTCACCTGAATATTACTGTGATGGGATTACCATTTAATTTTCAAATCATTTCATGTGCATAAGTTTTAAGATATACTCTTTTCTATGCTGTGCAAAATAATTTGTGGACTTTTCCATGTTCAGAATGGTGCTGCCTTCTTCCTTTTTTTTTAATTGACCACAGCCCAGCTGGCGTTAGCTGTCTATGGAACGTGTGTGGTTGGTTTCGTTGGTTAGGCAGGTTCTCCCCTCTTATTATTCTCTCCGTTTCCCTTAGCTTTTACCCTGAGCTTCTTCATTAGAGTTATTGATGGTGGAGAGAGGTTAAAACTAAATCATCCTGCTGCTTGATAATAATTTGATGGAGTAGAGACCCAGACTTATTATCAATAATAAGATTTGGGAATATTTTCTGGTGTATGATTATCTGACCCTTATGTGCCTGGGTAAATGAAATTTAGCTGTTCTACAAAAGAGGGCTCAGAGCTCATTCACATTTATTTCATGCCCACCAGTGCTCCTGCTATTTGATACTTCAGAGCCAAAAGTTGTTTGTTTCCCTTTAAAAATACATATAGTTTAATTCAAACATAGCTTAAATAAATGAAAAATTAGCTGAGCTAAAAATGGTATGAGAAAGTATCCCAGCAACAGTCCGGTGGAAGAGCTCAGCAGACTTTGTGGGCAGAGAGACCTAGGATCAGTTCCACTTTCTCTATTTACTTCCTTTGTGACCTTCTCTGAGCCTTACTGATCATTCTTATAGTGTAAGTGCCGGGGAGGGAAGAAAATGAGGTGATGCCTGTGAAGAGTTTAGCATAGAGCAGGCATCCTCAAACTACGGCCCGCGGGCCACATATGGGTGTTTTTGCCCATTTGTTTTTTTACTTCAAAATAAAGTATGTGCAGTGTGCATACGAATTTGTTTGTAGTTTTTTTTTAAAACTATAGTCCAGCCCTCCAGCGGTCTGAGGGACAGCGAACTGGCCTCCTCTTTAAAAAGTTTGAGGATCCCTGGCATAGAGTCTGACATATGGTCATTGCTTAATAAATGTTAGCCATCATTGTTATAGCATAAAGTTCTAGAAAAGTCATAGAAGAGATGTGACTATATAAAATTTACTCTTCTCTGGAAAGGGAAAGCATAACTGTTATTATTGCAGTGCTTGTTATTTCTAAAACAAGCATTGTTACACTTGAGACAAGGTCTTTCTGGCCCTTATGTTGATATGATTCAGGTTCTCTTTTCTTCTTGTGTTAAATGAACACAACCTGATTCATGTTGAGAATAACAGGAAGGAAACTGTGCCTAATAGGCTAAGGTAGAAAAGGAGATTCCCCAATCTCCCTATCCCATGTGTGTGGTTACTCATCCAATAAACTTATATTCTTGATATTTTAAAAATTCCTGAAATGAACTGGGTAGCTTTTTCCTTTGTTGTAAACTTTTCATTTACTTTTCTTATGATGAAAGATAAGGAAAATGAGCCTATAGATAATAACATAACAAGTTCACTGATTATTAATTACCAGAAGTGCTTTCTGTAGTATGCTGAATAAGGCCTAAGATAGCAGTCCCTAATTCCCAGAACCGGTAAATGTTTCTTTATGGCAAAAAGGTGGATATTACTTATGTGGCACAAGACGTGATTAAGTTAAGAATTTTGAGATGGGGAGTTATCCTGCAGTGTCTGGGTGAGCCCCGGGTGCAATCACACATATCCCTATGGGAGGGAGGTACAGAAGGGGGGGAGGCGGCACCACCACGAAGGCAGCATTGGACTGATGTGGCCAACGAATGCTGGCAGCTGCCTGAGCCTGGGGGAGCCATAGAAGAGATTCTCCCCTAGAGCTCCCAGAGGAGGCGCAGCCCTGCTGACACCCTAATTGTGGCCCAGGAAAACTGATTTTGTGCTTCTAACCTACAGAACTATAAGAGAATAAATTTCTATCGTTTTAAACCCACCAAGTTGTGATAATCTGTTACAGCAACCGTGGGAAACACATATACTTTTACTGTGCCCAAATTAAGATCCAATCTATGTAAAATTTCCGTGTCAAACATTTCATTTTATTGGGGATTATTTTTCTTCAAACTCACGTGGGGAGTTCTGAACTTCTCAGTTCAGAATTTCAGTGAGTTATGTTGGGGGAGGAGGGGATAAGGAAATGGTCTTTCTGAAGAGAGAGAGAGAGAGAGCAATCTTGTTGGGGAGAAACAACTAGAAACAGTATCATAAAGTGTACAATTAGAGCTAACCATTTAATTCATTCATTCATTTGCTCAACAAACATTTACCAAGTGCCTGCAATGTGGCAGGCAATGTTCTAGTGTTACAGAGACACAAGTAGACAGATGAATGAATTCCTTTCTTTGGAAAATGTATGTTCTAGTGAGGGAAGATGGACAAAAACAAACAAGCAAGTAAGTATACCATGTTGGTGCTAAATACCAGGGAGAGCACTTAAACAGGATAATGGGGAAAGGGATTGGGGGTAGGTACCATTTAATGTCGGGTGTTCCAGGCCTCTCCCATAACTAATGGGTCATTTGGGCAGATGTCTGGAGGGAGCAAGTTGTGCAGCTCTGTGGGAGTTAGGGAGGAGAGGTGTTAGCAGAGGGTGCAGGGCAGGAGTCTGCCTGGGGTGTGTTTGAGGAACAGCAGGGAAGCCATTGCCGTCAGAGTGAGGGGCAGATGCGAGGAGGGAGGGAGGTGTGTTGGATGGAGGTGCAGGTGCAGATCATGCTGGGGCTCCTGGGCCTTTGTGAACTCTTTGGCTTTTAATTTGAGTGAGATGGGAAGCCAGCAGAGGGCTTTGAGCAGTGGAGTCAGTTAAGTGATCTAACTTGTGTTCTGGAAGGACCTCTGGTTGCTATGTGGCGCTAAGCAGCAAAGGGGCAGTAAAAAGGGGAGACCATTTAAGAGCCTACTCCAGTCACCTCATTAAAAAATAAGGTGTCTCAGGTCAGTTTAACGGAGCTGGTGAGAAGTAACTGGATCCTGGATATATTTTGAGAACTCTGCAGTATTTGATGCCTGGAGGTGGGGTGTGAGATAACCCGTCACCTAAGGAACTGGAAGGTGGAGCTACCTTTTACTGACATGGGAAAGACTGTTGATGGAGCATGTTTAGAGTGGAAAAAGGCAGAAATTGTTTTTGGATATGTCTACTTGAGATGCCTAGTATCCACCCAAGTGGAGAAGTGGAGCAGACAGTTGGAGGAAGCAGATTAGTGTCTTTGGTGAGAATCAATGTAAAGACTCTTCTAGTCATTGATCTGCTCTTAAGCACTATATGCATTTAGGGTAGCACTTACCTATTCACCCACCTGTACCTGCTAGGTTAAGAGCTCAGACTCCACAACTGAGGAGGAATAAAGCCGTCACCCAGCTGCCAATAGTGCCACGTGCCCTTGTCTTTACAGAGATTGTGGAATGGCCAGTGAGGCAGGCAGGCCTCAGTACAAGTTCCAGTTCCAGCCAAGTGGTCTTAGGTAACTCTCCAAGCTTCAGTGTCCTCATCTGTGATTAGACATGATAACATTGCCTTTCAGGGGTATTCGAGGGTTGGAAAAGGCCCAGTCAGTCTTCAAGTTCTGTCAGCATCTTTCAAATCTTTCCACTTCTTTCCATCTTCCCACAAGTCTTTCTGGCCCTGGTTTTGCCCCACTCTTCATTCTGTCCTAAAGGATGGTTAGAATGATCTTTGTAGAGTGCAGATCAGGTGATTTCAGTTCCTCTTTAAACCCCTGAGGGGATTCTGGTTGCCCGTAGGATGACTGATCTTAAACATGATTTCAAGGTTCTGCATGATCCAACCTGTGTTCCTCTCCAGGCTCAACTCTGTCCCCTTCCCCTCCCCCACCGTGCTTTCTACTTCTGTCCAATTAACCTTCCAGTTGAAAGCCTTAGGCTGTCACGTTGCCCCATGCACCTGTCCTATCTCTCCTGCTTTCAATTTATATGCCACTTCTTCCAGGAAGCCTTCCTGCCCTGCCAGTAGATGCCCCTGCTCTATATTTCCTCATCATACTTTAGTAAAATGCCTTATTTTTTCTCCCCACTCTGTACCATCATCCTAAGAAAATAACTGGATCTGTTTTACAAAACCCTTAACTCAGGACTGGTGCCAGCAGCAGCCCCAAAAGTGCTAATATTGCTATTATATTTGCTTTTTCATTAAACTTTACGCTGTTTGAAACACTACTTCTCATGTACTGTTAAAACAGTGTACATTAAAACAATGTACATTAAAACAGTTGTCCATGTGATATTGTGGAGTGTTCCTGTTAGACAGTTTAGTAGTTTCCTTAGTAACTGTGGAAAGAAGAATGGATAACTAATAAACCCAGAGGTCTACCAAATGGAGAAGGAAATTAGAGAAAATTGGGGAAGTGGAAAGTAAATTTTATGGCATGGACAGGAGACCAAATGACAAAAAGCATTCAAGGGAGATGGTAGCTGGTCACTTCTCGGCCATAGGTTCAAGTCCTGCGTTGGGGAAAGTGAGTGCTATCATGCCTTCGCTAGTTGCTGCAGTGTTGCTGGGTGCCAGTTTACACATGTACGTTAAACAAACGAAGCAGCACCTTATCAAAGTATACATGCCCATTGATACAGACTTATGGGGATATATCCTAAGGAAACGGAAGTCCAAAAGTTTTATATACAAGTATGTTGATTACACTATTGCTTACAATTAGAGATAAATAGAAACAAAACACTAATGTCCAAAGGAGTATTGACTAAGTAAACTGTAGTACATTCATGTAATAAAGTACAGTTGTCCCTCAGTATCTGTGGGGGATTGGTGCCAGCACCCTCTGTGGATACCAAAATCCATGGGTGCTCAAGTCCCTGATATAGAATGGTGTAGTATTTGCATATAATCTATGCATATTCTCCCATGTACTTTAAATCATCTCTGTGTTACTTATAATACCTAATACGGTGCCTACATATCACTTCATTCGTGTGACTTCAGTGCAGTACTTGGTGCATGGCAAATCAACTTTTGCTTTTTGAAACTTAGTGGAATTTTTTTTCCCTTAATACCTTTGATTCTCAGTTGGTTGAATCTATGGACGTGGCTCCTATGGCTACAGAAGGCAGACTGTAGTATAAAGATATTAAAAAATTATGTTATGGAAGAATATTTAAGTAATATATTGAATTATTTGTTTAAAATTTTTGGGTTAATAAAAGTAGTTTCCATAAAAAAGAAATTGTTAATGGTGTTTTCTTTGTGCTGGAACAATGATAATACTTATTTTCTGCTCTGAGTTTCTTTGTATTTTACCATTGTCTATAGTGTATACTGAGGCCAAACAGCTATAAAAGGACACTATCTAAAGGATAAAGGAAAAAGACCCGATCACTGGCAAAAGTTGCATAGGGGTCATTCCTTGACTTTAGGTTGAGTCTTACCTGGGTGGTTGAACTTATGTAAAATTTTCTTATTTCTTATTACAAAGTAGAATAGAAAATACAGCAGAGAAAATAGAAAAACAGCCAAAGTCTTATCACCCTCAACCAACCATTGTTCACATTTGTACACATGTGTTACCTGGTGTGTGTGAGTAATAGATACAGGTTGAGATGTAGATATAGATTGAGATATGGATTTCTACCCAAACTGTGTGCATATGACTGCATAGCAGTTGGCAAACTGGTTCTGTAAACAGCTGGTAGTAAATATTTTAGACTTTGTAAGCCACATGCCATTTCTGCTGTTTATTTCTGTTTTGCTTTCTTTCCTCTGTTCATCCTGCCCTCCTTTCCTTCTTTCTTTCCCTCCCTCTTTCCTTCCTTCCCTTCCTCTTTCTCTCCTTTTTGTTAAAAACTCTTAAAAAAAAATAAAAACGATCCTTAGCTTGTGGGCCATAACAAAATAAGGCTAAGTGGCTGGGCTGTAGTTGCCATCCCTGGATTTAAATTATATTTAATATAACATACTGATTTTTAATATACTTGACATCAGAAAAGCATGTGTCACTTTTGCAAAGTATTGTTCAGCAATAGTGAAGTAAATTACTAATATGTAATGAGAAACACAAGCTCCTTTTTTTTTTTTTTGAGACAGAGTCTCACTTTGTTGCCCAGGCTAGAGTGAGTACCGTGGCACCAGCCTAGCTCACAGCAACCTCAATCTCCTGGGCTCAAGCAATCCTGCTGCCTCAGCCTCCCGAGTAGCTGGGACTACAGGCATGCGCCACCATTCCCGGCTAATTTTTTGTATATATATTTTTAGTTGGTCAATTAATTTCTTTCTATTTCATAGTAGAGACGGGGTCTCACTCTTGCTCAGGCTGGTTTCGAACTCCTGACCTTGAGAGATCCATCCACCTCAGCCTTCCAGAGTGTTAGGATTACAGACATGAGCCACCACACCTGACCAGAGAAACACAAGCTCTAACGTGAACATTGCTCAGATTAGCCATGGAGAATTTTTGGTTATATATTCCTGCAGGGCTTTATTTGGATAGTGATAAAAGTAGTCCTTAAGTAGAGTTGCATTGGAAAGAAAGTTTCCTTTCTTTCTTTGCCCTTGAATAAGACTTTATCGAAGAATAGTGTTGGAAAATATAAGTAATGGTTGCTATATATTATCCAATTTAATTCCTATCATTTAAGTCAGAAGATAGATTGTATGCACTCCATTTGCAGTGCTACTTGGTTAATTTAACAAGGGTATTATATGTTGAAAAAAATGTTTGAAGAACTTTCCGTCAAATGAATAAAATAACCTATGAATTTATTTTCCAGATATGTTCAGTGAAGGAACGGCATGCCAGTGAAATGAGGGATTTGCCAAGTCGATATGTTGAAATAGGTATGTCTCCACTGCTTATCTTTTATGAGTGAAAAACTTTAAAGAGTATCCATTTTATTAAGTGGAAACCTAAGGCCACATTCTTCAGGGCTCATCACTTGGTACCTTGATAAAATAGATCAAGGAGCCTTTAAGTTTTGAAATTTTGCCATGGAGACCCTTTTACTAAAAAAGTGTATTTCTAATTTTCATACAATAATTTTGTCATTGGCTTTGAAGTCAAATAACCATGGGTTATTTACCATGGGGCCTGGCTTTGTTATCTACCACCTGGACTTTGAACAAATTTCTACGTGCTTCAGTATTCTTATCTATAAAATGTGGAAAAGAACACCTGTCTCACAGGTTGGTTGTGAGGATGACAAGAGTAATGCATGCACACAGCTAGCACAGTACTGACACCATTTTCATCATCACTGGTCTGCCCCAAACTGCCATAGGCTTTTATCCGGACCACTGCAGCAGCCTCCTTACTGTTTTAACTCCTTCCACTGGGAATAACTCTCATCTAGTCTCCCTACTGCAGTCAATGTGGAGATCAGATCATGTCATCATCCTTCAGTCCCTTCCCATTGTTCTTACGATGTAGATGACACTCCTCAGTGTGAACCAGCGCAGGAACCTATGCTGGCCCTTGCCTGCCTCGCTAGCTGTGGCTCACACCAGGCTTCTCCCTGGTCTCTGCACTGCAGCCACTGCGACCTTCTTTCACCTGTGCATGCTCTTTCATTCCCCTCTGTCTAGAACATTCTGCCTCTTAATCATACCCTAGCTTGAGTGTTTCTTTCCTGGGAAAGCCACTGGACCTCACTCCCCAGGTCAAGTCCTCCCATTTTAGGCGTGTATAACACTGCATGGCTCCCTTTTCCAGCACTCGTCACGGCTGCAGCAATCCTGTGGTTATTCCATGCATTTCTGTCTCCACCATACTTTCACCTCCTTGTGAGCACACACTGGGTCTGTTTTTGTTCACCGTTTGTATCTCAAGGACCTGGCACAATGCTTATCACATAATAGATGCTAAATAATATTATGTTGAATGAATCATTGATTCTGGGAAACAGCTATTCAGGAGAAGGATGCCATGGATGACATACCATTACTTTTATAATTTAGTTTTTTAACTTAGTTTGTAAATATTATTCTGAGAAAAAAAATTGCAATATTATAAGTCAGCTGTAAAAATTCATTTGTCCATTTGGGTGGTGGATGAGGAATATGAATCTGATGGTCATTATGACAAGGTGAAGCTGAAATAATTCATTTGCACATGACTATTTCTAGAAACAGAAGGACTTTGTACCCATATGGCTAAGTTGGTTACAGCATTTAAACTTGGGCTATTTTGTACATGAAGTTGGAAGTTGGTGGTGGGGTTATAATAATTTTATTTTTTTACCGTAGAAGGATAAATACATAGTTCAGATTGCTCACAGTATGGACAAAGTAGGAATATGCAAAATGTAATAGTACTGAGAAAAATGAGGAACAAGGTAAGAGAGAAGACTGATAACCCAAAGATACAGATAATTGTGTCAGTATCTCTCTCTCCTTTCTTGCCCCTCCTTTGCCTACCAGAAAAAAAACCTCTGAACATCTCAATGTATAGTGTCCTGAGACATAAGTATTAGAGTATTTTAAATACAGACGTGTGGAAAAAAAAAAAAACCTCTGGGAATTTTTAAGGATGTAGAAATTGCCAGGAAGGTATAAAAATGTAATAATTGCCATCTTTCCTTAATTGCTATTTATTGCTCATACTAGGTATGGTGCATGTGCTGTGTGCATTGCCAGCATTAATTCACTTTATTCTCACAGGAACTCTGTGAAGTACAGGTAACATGCGTCTCATTCTATTGATAAAGAAATTGAGGCTCAGGAAGGTAAATAACTTGTCCAAGATCTTACTACCATCACCTTAAAATGGATAGGATACAACTCTACAGAACCACCAAAAAGAGACAAGGCAGTTTGCTGAAGTATATGATATTGATTGAGGTTCTTAACCTTCCTGATCGTGCTTTTCTCACCTGTTAAACAGAGGTCATAATACTACCATTCAGGATGGTTGTGAGAATAAGACGTGGCGTGGGTAATGTGCCTAATGTGGTACTAGGCACACAGTAGATGCTCACTAAATCACGGTGGTTATTATCACTGTGCAACTCCCATCCCAACTCTGACTGCTAATAGCTGGCTCAGTGGTAGCCCTATTAGCCTAGAACCCTGGGATCATTTTATTACAGTGTAGTTTATCTGTACTATAATTTACGTGGAATAGACTGTGTGTGGGTACTATGGTATCACATTACTGACATTTTACTACTATGGTTAATGGTTAAGTACCATTTTTTCCCCTCTTGAGAGCAAACCTTTAAGAACATAAGCCATTTCCACAGCAGGAGGCAAAGTGGTTTGGATAAGAGTCCTTGAGTAGAATAAAGGAAAGGGAAATATTAGGAGGTCTGGATTACAATTTGCTTTAGCCCTGAACAGTGTGAACCACTGTTCTTTAGTAAATGAGGTGAAAATGGCATTGAGACTAAAGAAATATCTATGGCTATACATTTCTTAGAAGCCAAGTATTTATAACTCTTACAAGTCAAAATTTCAAAAATAACACAGAAGTTGTTAATAGGATATTGATTTACTTTTGTATGTAAATAGTAATAATAATAAAGATTAAGGTCACTGGCCAATCACTCACCCATAAAGAGATTGTCTGTACATAGGCCTTTGGGAGTGTTATTTTTTCCTTCCAAATTGCATTATTAAAAGTAATGTGGTCCATGCTTGCCATACTTACTTTAACTTCACTTACATCTCTTGTATTCTCACAAGACTCCCTAACCCTCTGGTGCTTTTCACCAAAGTCTCCCATGGTCTCTATGGAATGGTAGTTTGAGAGTTACTATTATGTTGTTGGGAAATGAAGCCAAAGTTTGTGTATCATTTTCTGAGTGTAGTCTCCAGGGGCAGATGACTTACATGCAAGGAATTAATGATTGACTTCCTAATCCTGATTTCATATAGAAGTTTGTTTAAAAATAATAATAATTGATAGCTGAGTATGGTGGCTCATGCCTGTAAGCCTAGCACCCTGGGAGACCGAGTGGGAGGATCACTTGAGACCAGCCTGAGCAAGAGCAAGACCCCATCTCTGCACAAAAGTAGAAAAATTAGCTGGGCATGGTGGTACACCAGTAGTCCCAGCTACTCAGGAGGCTAAGGCAGGAGGATTGCTTGAGCCCAGGAGTTTGAGGGTGCTGTGAGCTCTGATGATACCACTGCACTCTAGCCTGGGTGATAGAGTGAGATCCTCTCTCAAAAAATAATAATAATTGAGATAAACAACTACATAGGAATCTCTATAGAATGGCAGAGAAGTCAAGAAGACAGACAGGGAGGAGAAAAGAATGGAAATCTTTTTTTTTTTTTTTTTAAGTAGTGTTAATATCTTCAGTTGATCATATATATACTATAGTCTTAGAATTTAGTACATCATTCTATTTCCAGTCTCTTGACTGGTTGGGAAAACAATGACCTGGAAATTGAAGATCTGATTGGATGGTGGAGGAGAGCTATGAGAGAATTCTTTTTTAAATTTAAGTATATGTCTTCATCTTATTCTGATTCAGATATACAAAATACAGCGGTGGGACAGGGTTTTTTTGCACATAAGTGACATAGTTTCATCTCTCAGTCTGAGTCTCAGTAGAGATTACGACACCTGCTGATATCATTCAAGGTGGTTTTACTTAAGGATCTTGCTATGTATGGTTTTCTGTTATGCTGTAGTTCAGTTTAATTCTCTGTAATCTACTAATTCTTCTGTTCTGCATTGAACTTTTCCCTAACATTTTATTATGAAAAATTTTTTAAATACAGAAAAGTAAAGAATTTTATAGCAAACAGCATAGAACCTCCTAGATTCCACACTTAAGCTTTTATTATATTTGCTTTACTACATATCTATTTATCCATTCCTCTTCTTGGGAGGGATGTAAAAACTCTTTCCCACTTAGTGCTAGAGACTCAGGTTTTTGTTGTTAGGAGTAGAATTCACAAATTTTCTCCATTATAAGTAGCAGTAAGAAATCCAAAGCATCTGAAGAAACAAATGTATTTTATTCCTTGCATAACAACCAGCATCAGGCACATTGCTAAATACATTACAAATAGAATGTCATTTAACCTTCATAGTGTCCTAGTGGGTAGGAGCTGTTATCTCCATTTTATAGGTGAAGAAGCTGATGTTCAGAAGGGTCAAGGAAACTGCTCAGAATTGTTAACATCCATAAGCAAAGAGGGCAGCATTTGAACTCAGGTGTGCCTTGTGTTAAAGTTGTTGCTCATAACCACGGTGCCATAGAGTTAATCCCTTGCATTCCCTCTACCTAATCCCAGCCCTAGTTTATAGCCAGGGGAACAAGGAGAACGGAAGTTTGCTCCAACATTCACATACAAACCACTGGGCAGAAATTCTCCAAAGACCCTTTTTTATATATCAGTGATGATGGCTGTTCACCTGTTCTTTAAACAGCTAGATGAAATGGAAATGTAGTAGCTTTGTGTTTTGATTTTGGTTCCTAGAAGTATCCCTTTAGGAGAAATAGAAACTGTGTTTTTATTTGTTTTATTCTGAGCTTGACAGCTATTCCTTGCTTCTTCTCCAAATTGTTAGAGAATCTCTAGAAGCCTTGGATGGCTTTCAGAATTGCTTCTAAGGAAAGGGAACTAAGGCCGTACGTATTGTGTTTCGTTCAGCTTTTTTAAAAAGAAGAAAAGCCCTTGTTTTCTACTTTTTAGTGTTTGGTTTAAGTTTAGTTGATGCATCAAGGTACTTTTATATTTAAGACTTTAAAGCGTAACTGTTTGGTTTGAACCTTTTGACTAGTAGGCCCGTGACCATTTTCTTTTCTTTTGTCTCAGCAGTATGCTGTAATTTACTCAATAAATATTCCTCATCAGTGCTGCTTCATGAGTGCTGAGGTTTAGTA